AAAAAGAACATTACACGTTGGCTCGAAGATATGAATTTTATGTTCTCGTGGCAAGAACAATATTTCACGAATGAGCGAAGCGAACGGGTGAGATATTGTTCTTGCCACTCGAACATAAAATTCATATCTTCTTGCCACTGTGTAATATCCTCTATGTCATTTGTGTCAACTAGTAAGCCCAGGAAGTAAAGCAGAGAGCACCAGATCCACCACATGCCCTGATAATCCAAGGAGATGACATTCCCATCAACCTATTAGAGATTTGCAGAAGAAACCACCTCGTGGTATAGGTAACTACTACTGCTGGCCAGAACTTATCTTGTTAACTTATCGTGCCAGGCAAACCCCGGCCTGGGTGAAGGACTTTGTATCGTCCAGTACCAGTACTTTAAACATCCTTCACACTTGTAGTAATTAACCTTACCCTATTTAATCTGTTTAAAAACATTGAACATTGGAAACTAGATGTTAGGATTATGAGACTTTGTAGCAAAGTGGAGGGGTGATGTAGTATAGTGGAATTGACACTTTCGTCACATGGGAACCCAACCATGTGCTTCATAGAGTCTGCCATTTTGTAGCACAGTGTTGTTGAGTTGTTGCAGTCTTGCTGACATGTGTGCAGGGAAAGCTGCATACACATGAGGAACAAAAAAGATGTTGCTTTGACGATGAATACTGCTAATTTTATGGCAAAAAAGACTGAAAGAAACTAATTGTTTCAAACTGATCACTGTAAATACACATTTTTGAAACTTGTTACAGGTAATAAGTAACAGCCTATGTCCTCTTGGTTGTAACAATTTACAGTTGAACTACAGTAGTTGTTGTTTCTGACACTTAATTGTTAGTACATCATGCTAGGTAGTGGCTATAAGGCCACATTACTTGTAGAACCTCATCACCAGGATAGACCTTTCATAAAGTTACATATACTCCAATGAATGCATTGTTGTAATATGAGAATAGATTTCAATGTTACCTGTTGGTTACAATTAAGCTGAGCACCTTTAGTTGAGCGTGAAAAGAAAACTACTTTTTGAGAACATACATGCAAGTACTAGCCTCCTCTTCGTTGAAGTACAGGTGGTGAGGGGCTAAAAGGTTTTGGTGACTAGAATACTTCTGCTGATGACCACATCTGAAAATTTACAGGCCACCTAGCCTAAAGGTTTTTCCTTCAACTTTTGTGAGGAAAAGGTATCTTCTGAAATCAACCATTATTCTTCAATTCAATAACAAGATCTACCAAAGAAAGTCTTAGCACTTACACACTGAGCATCTGCTTTGTAATATTTGATTACGCAGAATACAACATTGTCAAACCTGTTTTTTGTGTGTTGATAGGAGGAACATTCTTTTCCAGCCAGGAGAATAGACTTTCCATGGCATTTATCTGATGTGTTTCAGATGCTCTGTACTGCTTTCCCCAAGTTGACACCTTATTTTAAAAGAAGATTACTGTATAATTAAATTCATTGTTAATGATCATTAAAGATACTCTCTTTGAGATGTTTCTTATTATCATTACCTAATGAAGTATTGTCAGTGTACTGGGAGAAATAAAATGCAGGTAATTCTTAAACGGTTGTGAACATGACTAATACATGCAAGATTTGGTCAGTACAGTCCTTGAAAAAATTCAAAAAAATCTAAAAATGCAATTGAAAGTGCCAAACATAACCTTGGCACTTCCTTCTTAGAATTAGCCCCAAGAGAGGATATAGCAACCTCCACAATATTCAAACCTTCAACATCCAGATCAATGTTGCCCTACTCACTGAGCTACAAGGCCAGACAGAAGCAGGTCATCATGCAGACAGGAGGTCATGGGTTCAGAACATAAACTTTTTAAGTGCCTATGAAGTAAAAAATAATTACTGCTTATTTGAAAGGCTTTTCTAAGTAGAGAAGACTGGCGTTTTCCTTTTTGGAATATCTTTTTTCATTTTAGAGATATTCACGTTTTTGTATTATGCAAATGAGGAAAGTGCTGACATCATAGGTGGTTCCACTGAAACAGTACAACACTCAATCAAGAATATCTCTAGAAATATTGGAGCAGTGTTCTTCAAACTTGGCATCAGAAATGTACATTACAAAAGAAACTGGATGACCCTTCTATGTTGTTGCCATGGCAACACTCTTGGCTCCAGTCTCTTTCTGAGGAAAACCAAATATTACCATTTGCAACCTTTTACAGTGGGTCAGAGGGTCTTGCTCGAAACACACCTGGTTCCTATATTGTCTGAACTCTCCCCATTAGATTGTTAGGAGTGGATGATCCTTGTTTAAGATAAAATCTGAAAATTTTAGTCTTAATTAAAACAGGACCAGTGCCATAACTGTTGTCATGGCAACAGCACGACAGGTGTCATTTTGTTTCTGTTGTGATGTACATTTCTGGTGCTAAGTTTAAAGAACACTGCTTCAATATTTCTAGAGATATTCTTGATTGAGTGTTGTACTGTTTTAGTGGAACCACCTATGACGTCATCACTTTCCTCATTTGCATAATACAAAAATGTGAACATCTCTAAAATGAAAAAAGATATAATTCCAAAAAGGAAAATGCCATTCTTCTTTACTTTGAAAAGCCTTTGAAATAAGCAGCAATTTTTCACTTCACAGGCACTTTAAGAAATTGGAAAAGAGAGTGAGAGTGAGTGAATTGATCCGGTTGACTTGAACTAGCAAGCTCATTGATCTAATGCACACTAAACTCAATCAAAGCAAAATACGGCCCACTGANATATTCTTGATTGAGTGTTGTACTGTTTTAGTGGAACCACCTATGACGTCATCACTTTCCTCATTTGCATAATACAAAAACGTCAATATCTCTAAAACGTTTGAAAAGCCTTTCGAATAAGCAGCAATTATTTTTTTACTTCATGTGCACTTTAAGACGGGTTGTTACGAATTAACTTTGGCAAATGTAGAAATACTCTAAGGCTCGTTGTTTTATATTTCACGGGAAACGTTATTTTGACATCTTGAAGTGAGCACGTCATTTGTATGCCTCTAAGCGGTCTCACGCAATCAAATACAGCACTTGACGAAGCTGGTGCAAAAATAAGAAAAAACACCCTGATTTTGAAATATTAGCCGTTGCAACTCAGCATGGTCTCCATGCCTTATACTGAAAAAATATAAAACATGACTGACTGGAGACACTGTCTTCATCACATTTAATCCAAGTGGCCTGTTGTGGGTAATTCTAATTGGAGTCATCGTTAACAAAACGTAGAGAAGGTGTAGACCAAGCCTGCATTATCGTTAAAGTGCACCTAGCCCCCCCAAATTTTTTTTCGCTAAAACGAATCTAGACTTTATTTGAAGCATTTGGGCGAAGAAATTTTTGA